TCTCTACGTCGACCCTCGGGGGGAAATAGATGTATAACCTTTTAAAACAAAAAAATATTTTAATCATAAAATTCCTGTTAGCAAATAATTTACAAATAACCTTTTAGCAAATTTCCATTTTGCAAAAGATCATACGTGAAATTATGCTTACTTTTCTTCACATATCTGAAGTTTTGGAAAGGCCATTTCTTTCTGCGTTTAAAATATTCATTAACTCTTCCCATTCCTTTTTTTCTGTGCTCTTTACTAAATGTGCTATCAACACTGCTTAACAGCTGCGGATTTTTCGAAAATTTTCACCATTTATTCGAGCTGGTTGATAATATATATATATATTATATATATATATATATATATATATATATATATATATTGCTACCGACATCCTCAGTGATAAGCACTTGCGAAAATCACAGATAGCTGAGTGGTCAGCAAGCTGAGTCCTATTCTGACTTTTGCAAGTCCCGTATGTGCCGCAGCAGCAATTACTAACAGGAAACATATCCAAGTTTTCCAAAATATTATGCTCCGGCAAATCTACAAAGCTCCTTAGTTTGTTACGAACGAGGATATTCATAATGCAGCCAACATTCTTCCCTTAAATCTCTTTATACAGTGACTTTTGGGTAACTTTTCAAAACGATTCCTTCGATAGGTAACCCCGTTATCCATTCATGAAATAAGTTGAAAGCGCTTAAATCAACTATTAAATAAATAATTAATCATATAATACTGGTTATTAACAATTTTGTATGCCTATTTATGTTTTTTATGGAAAAAATACTTGGCATTTTCAGGACACATAAAGTGCTTCAAAGAAATTTGAAATATTAGTACAAACACATTAATAAATTGAAATTAATAATTAGATGTAATTTAAAAAGATAGAAATAATTTAATGTTAAAGATTTAGATTTAAAAATTTGCACACACAAATAATTTATCAGATTTTATAAGGTTTTACTTCATAAATAACTTTGATTTTGAAATATGGCATTTGAACCTCTAAACATGTATGGATACTGAAAGTGATGAATATATAAGAATAAAATGTTCAGTAAGTTTGCTTATTGAATAATATATTTTGACCGTCCTATGCTATAAGACTAGGGTCTAAGTTTGCATAAAAATTCCTCTGTTAAATAGAAGAATACTGATGTTCTTCACGTGATAAAGAGTAAAAGGAGGCGCCGCTTTCTGAAACTCAAATTCACTATATGTTCTTAGTAGTAAGTAAGTTCTGTAGCCTTTTTGTCAATACATTAAAGATTTTTTAACTGATTACACGTCCTCGCTTGCAATTAGAACCAACATTAAATCCCTGTATTATCTAATCCTTTCCTTAACATTATCATGCATATAAATTGACCTCCTCTTTGTAACTGATAATTATTACTTGCTTGCTGGTGAACGACTAACAACCCTTTCCATTGTTTAGCAGTGGCGTAGCTAAGATTCCAGCGCCCGAGGACAACTGAAGAATTTGCGCCCCTTTCTGTGTGGCAAGAATGGAAAACATTTCATTAAAAAATTTTGTAGCATCACTTTGGCGCCGCCTGGATGCTGTGCCCGGGGACAGTTGTCCCCCCTTGCCCCACCCTAGCTAAGCCACTGTTGTTTAGTTAGGGTTAACAACCTTCGCTCTCGCTACCGCCTGCTTCGGCCAAAGAATAGACGTTCTTTGCCTCGGCGGCCCTGCCGGAAATCGGCGTAAAATGCTGGTACTTGGTTTGATTGTGCGCATGCGGGAACGTAAGTGGTGTGAATAGCCTCATAGCTATTCGCACCAACGATTTCCTATAACAGGTAGACGGCTCACCCACAGAGAATTCGTCTGCTAGGGTGTCTCCAACATATACCACGTGACTAATGCTCTTGGCGCTCTTGGGGAGTGATAGCTTAGGCTGTCATCGCCAGTTTGGCCCGCTTTTGATATGGCAGGTAGTGCTTTTTATTTCCGTCTGCTAGCAGTCAGCAGACAACGGCCTCGAATTAGGTTGTTCGATTTTTTTTACAATTATATTTAGATATAACTTAACCCCTTTTTCCTGAATATTTTATCTATATTTTTAATAATCGCTTAAATTATTTGCACCATTGTTTAAGATGTTTAGGTTAAATAATTTAGGAAAAAATCTAAAGTAAATAATAAAACATTGAGATGGAAACTTTAATTTTGAATAACGTTAAAAATTAATTGCACTACTGTTAATATTTGAGAAGGTAAAAAAATCTCGTTTAATTTTAATGCATTGCATCCTAAAGAGAAAAAGAAAATCACATTGTATTATATGTATTTATGCCATAGATTGCCTCTCTTTTCTTGAGATTATATTACTGGAACAAAATAATGCACATCTTTTCTTGAGATTTATTACTGGGGACAAATATGCAATTTATTACTGATTTTCCACACTCATGTGTGTATGTCATGGCGGGGATCAATACATCTTATTACCTTAACATTGTTTGATAAGAATAAATTGAATTTAATTAAAAAAATTAAATTTAAATACAAATTTAATTAAATATTCTTTGCGCCGTTGCTGCAAGGAATGAAATTTAAATTTAAACAAATTTAAATTTAATTTTTAACAAATAATGATGATTTTAACAAATAATTAATTAATTTAACAAATAATAATAATTTTTAACAAATAATGGATTTATTTTGCGCTTGATTTGCTTGATTATGCTTCTGAATTTAAATGATATTGTAGATTAGTTCGAGTATTAAATCTTTTATATGTTTGCACATTTTTTTAAAAAACTATTTTGGCTTTTTTTAGGATTTAAATTTGCTTTTTTACTTTGATACGTATTTGTTAAAAATTAAATTTAAATGTGTTTAAATTTATTAACTATAACAAATATTTTATATTGAATATGTATCAACGGTAACAAACTTCAAACTCAGTATTTATTATTAGGATCAAAACGATATTACGTTAAAAATTCTCTCATCTCCTTTTTTTTTTAAATACCATTTAAATATGGTAGCTTTTCACATCACATTTTTTCAATTACATAAATTTCTAACAGCATTGTAGATGAGACAGAATTATAATCCAGATTATTTTAATTGATTTTATAGAAAATAATGATAAAGCATTGAGCTTTATAAAAGTAATCTGATTTTTAAAATAATGCTGTTTAAACTGTTTATGTTCATGTTGCATGAATCAAGATCTTCAGCTTTTTTTTTTTTTTAAACAAGTAAACATATCGCACAATCTTTTCTCATAATTTAATGCTAATAATAGCATTTTTCTTTTTTATTGCAGGCAGTAATTGTTATGAAATCAAAACGCGTACGACTTGGCGAAAAAAGGTTAACGCCAATGGCGCAGCTTTCTATTTCAACGGAATACACGGAAAAACATATAAAATTCATTATTTGTAAGGGTGATTCCAGTAAATTGTGTCACAGTATTTAATACATTTTGATGCTAATAATACATGCTGAAATATCATATACGGGCGGTAATTTTCTTATACAATATGGCGAAACTTCCCAACCAATTCAACAGAGATAGTAAAATGACAAAAATACTGAAATAAAATAAAAATCCTGCAGTTTTTAACTTACCTATGAAGGTTACAAGTCCTCCTTTCACGAAACTTTCTTTACATCCGTAGGCGCTGCAGCGAATAACCATTTTTACTTAATTTTATGTGACCAGCAGAGCAGCAGTCTTTCGTTCCCATAAAAGCAATGTAAAGTATTTCCGGACTTTCGGAATTCGCGCAGCAGTCACGTGACACTAATGTTGGAACCGGTTGAAGGTTGCAATACGCTCTCTACCAGTATACTATCTCGTTGATTCGCACCGTCGGTGCGATTAGCCACTGCGTCTGAGGGTCGAGCAAGATCAGTAAAATACTTCTTTAGGATATTTTAGAAACCTTGAGGGTCGAGTGGAAAGAGAATACCGACTGGTTTTGCTATATCGATCTCGATCGGTGTTCAGACTAGACCCCCTCAGTTAGACATAGCTTGAATTGTTTTAATAGGCCTGAAATTATACAACTTGAATCGCTTTAAAATTTACATAAAAAATACTATATCTCAAATAAGTTACTTTCTAAAATATTTCGAAACTTTCAATTTGGGGAAGACGTCCGCCTAGGCACCCAGGTGTATCAAACACCGTTTTACAAGACAGTTTAATTTAGAAGGAAAATAATTGTTTTAATTGGAAGAATATCACTTTGAAATGCACGTTGTTTTTTTCTTTTCGATAAGCACTCGTCTCTCAGGTGCCGCATATCTTCTTTTCTCCTCCATGCGTATAAAATTCGTAACGGAAGATACAGCCTGCTGGTTATTTCTACCTCAGTGTACGGATATTTTGCAAAATATTCGGTAGATAGCGCTAGGTGCTATTTTATCACACGATCCGTAGAAGCCGTCAGTTCGCTACTTTCTCGTGATTTTGGTTATATGTTCAAAGTACTTCGAGGAGTAGTGCGTGTGATGGGTGGAATTAGCATTTGAAATTAAAAACAAGACTTGTTTAAAATGACTCTTGGCAAAACATTTCGTGTTTATCATCGAGTAAACGCAGACTCTAACCGCTCTTACTGTGTTTTGCTTGAACAGAGGAACAAAAATGAAGCTCTGTTATTCGAATGCGGAACAATTCAGCTTCTTAGTAAGGATCTTGCAGTTATTTCTCCATTAAATTTGAATCCTCAAAAAACATTGCATACTTGTTTAAAATGTTGCAAAGAGTTGAATTTTTAACTGCTTTGTATTTCTTTTATTTTAAAACTCTGTGCTTTGTTATAAAAGCTCCAATATTTACAGTTTTGTGCAGAAAACTGGATAAAATCGTAAATTGTCAAAGTAAATGTCATTAACGAGATGGTACCGAGTAAGATCATAGTATTTTTACAACGTGCACGTTTATTTAATTGTAGCTTGTTATATGTAGTGTTTATGTGATGAGTTCATGTATCATAGAAATTATAGTTATGTATAGTGTGGTTAAAGTTCATACATAGTAATATGAATAGGTAGGGTGAAACTGATCAAGTCTTTTTTTCATTATAATGTCTGGCAAAATTATAATTCATGAGTAATCTAAATTTTTAGATATGTGGGTGATTCTTAATTTCTTGTAAGATTTATTGAGCATAAATGTTGTATAAATGGTGACCTTTAGAAAATTTTGGCTTTGCTGCTCAGAAAAATAAAGAAAGTAGGAAAAACTTTTGTCTAGGTTTTTTATAGTAAGCTGAACTTCCATGGCTACTGTTGCTTAGCAGTTTAGGTTTTCTCTCACAGATATTTTGGTAAAAATAGGTAACTTTTTATTAGTTTTGACGTAAACTTTGCATTATATGCTAACATATTTTGCATATATCTAATGCAATGTAATTTAAAAATGACTCATGAATAGTCTAATCATAGAATTGGCAATAATTTTGTCTGAATCTTAATTCGTGGTAGTGAGAGTATTTTAAAACTTTTTTGCTGTTGCTTAATTTAGTGTGAACCATCTTCCTATAGAATGTCTGTCATGAAGGCATTGTTTCTAAGTTACATAATCATAATTTATTTTGCAGTAATTAAATACATAGCCTGCATATATACAGATGGTTGATCTTTACATTATGGTAACTTGGCGTTTTTTTGGCGAAAATTTGGCGACCAACTCTCCTACAGCAACCCTCTATTTTTTTTCCCGCCGCCATTTTGTCTTCACGAAGTAAACACATGTTTCTGTTCTTTTTATCTACTAAACACTTCTTCCAACAATCTACTAGCCGAATTACACTTATGCTAGAAATTTTATCTAACAAAACTGCTTAATCATGACAAATATTCACTGCAAAATTGGGAAAAAGTGCACAATACCATACTCCTTACGCGTTTTTCAAAATAACACATACACATGAACCATGTACACATACACGCCGACTTATTTTTACTTAAAAAAACATCCCAGAATTGAACAAAAATGGCATTGCGCACACTCTTCACTATATCCATGTACACAGCTTTTTTTTCTCATAAATTAGAAAAATTTCACACGAAAATACATGACAATTTTCTCAATCTTTAAACCCGGTAAAAAGAACATATATGAAATTACCTGATCACAAAAAAGTATTTACCCTTTTAATATATGAACATTTCCACATATAAAATAAATAAAATATCCAAAAACTTTTACCTCTAATCATCTATTACGTTATACACACGTCACCAACAAATTCATACCGCAAGCATTACAACTACTTAGTATCAAATATTTAAATTATTTCCATGCATGTTTACTTCAACTTAAACGTGTACGAAATTCCAGTTGATCTTCGGATTATGGTAACTTGGCGAAAATTTGGCAACTACTCTGCTACAGCAACCCTCTATTTTTTTTTTCGCTGCCATTTTGTCTTCACGTAGTAAAGACATGTTTCTTTTCTTTTTATTTACTGAACACTTTTTCCAACAATCTACTAGCCGAATTACACTTATGCTAGAAATTTTATGTAACAAAACTGCTTAATCATGACAAATATCAACTGCAAAATTGGGAAAAAGTGCACAAACGCAAACTCCTTGCGTGTTTTTCAGAATAGCACATACGCATAAACCATTTACACGTCGACTTATTTTTACTTAAACAAAATCCCAGAATTGCACAAAAATGGCATTGCACACACTCTTAACTTTATCCATCTACACTGCTATTTTCTCATAAATTACAAAAAGTTGCACGAAAATGCAAAAAAATTCTGTGAATCTTTAAACTCAGTAAAAAGCACATATATGAAATTACCTGATCGCGAAAAAGTATATATCCTTTCCAAGGATGAACATTTCCACGTATAAAATAAATAACATATCCAAAAACTTTTACCTCTAAATTATCTATTATGTTATAAACGTCACCAACAAATTCATACTGCAAACATTACAAATGGTTACAAATACTTAGTGTCAAATATTTAAATTATTTCCATGCACGTTTACTTCAACTGAAACGTATACCAAATTCCTACAAACATAAAATTCACAAAATAACTATCATTTAATTAAAATATCACTAAACCATGTACACGTCGACTTATTTTTACTTAAAAAAACATCCCAGAATTGCACAAAAATGGCATTGCGCACACTCTTCACTATATCCATGTACACTGTTTTTTTCTCATAAATTAGAAAAATTTCACGAAAATGCATGAAAATTTTGTGAATCTTTAAATCCGGTAAAAAGAACATATATGAAATTACCTGATCGCGAAAAAGTATATACCCTTTCCAAAGATGAACATTTCCACGTATAAAATAAATAAAATATCCAAAAACTTTTACCTCTAAATTATCTATTATATTATAAACGTCACCAACGAATTCATACCTCAAACATTACAAATGGTTACAAATACTTAGTGTCAAATATTTAAATTATTTCCATGCACGTTTACTTCCACTGAAACATATACCAAATTCCTACAAACATATAATTCAAAAAATAACTATCATTTAATTAAAATATAATTAAATTCAAAAACACTACTTAAAATATAAATAAGCACATACATTAAATTAATAAAAATTAGCTTACAATCCTAATTACTTTAAACTAAATCATTGCTAATAACAATTTTCCAATAATACCATATTATTTTATTTACTCCTTACATTTAGAACAATGCATAAAAATAATATCCTCAAATAATTAAAAATACTAACTTACCTAATCTTCTTCAGAATCTTGATTACGTGGCCGATAAACTTTTCTTATTTCCTCCGCTAAATAAAAAGCAAGCGTATGTGCGCTTGTTTCAGGATCTTTAAAATCATACTTATAGTTCACAGCAAGGTACCAGGTAAAATAAATAACTTAATAAAACATCTTTACTTCTATCTCGCACAACCTTAAAAAAAACACTTATTACTACCCCTTTCAATCCCACTAAATACCCATTTCGAATTTACTTTAGTTAAGGCCGTGGGATCCAAAAATTAACCAACACTGTTTCACACAACACAGAATAAAGCTAAATACAAAATTTCCAGATTTTTCCCAGATTTCCCCCCTTTTCCGATTAAAGAACTGTAATTCGTCCATTAATGTCACATGACATATCTCATGATCTCTCATTTCCCTCACACAAAATAATGTGTAATCGGAACTGAGTACTTCTCACATTATTACCAAAGTCCTAGGTAGTCCTTTATCGTAGGACCTTTATCGCCTCCAAAATGTCGCCAAACTGCCAGTTACCATACTCCAAAGATCAGCCAACAAAACTGCATAATCATGACAAATATTAACTGCAAAATTGGGAAAAAGTGCAGAATCGCAGACTCCTTGCCGCGTTTTTCAGAAACGCACATACACAGTAACCATGTACACGTCGACTTATTTTTACTTAAAAAAAATCCCAGAATTGCACAAAAATGGCATTGCGTGCACTCTTGATTTTATCCATGTACACTGCTTTTTTCTCATAAATTGGAAAAATTTGCACGAAAACGCAGGAAAATTTTGTGAATCTTTAAACTCGGTAAAAAGCACATATATGAAATTACCTGATTGCAAAAAAAGTATATACCCTTTCGAAGGATGAACATTTCCACGTATAAAATAAATAAAATATCCAAAAACTTTTCCCTCTAAATTATCTATTATAAACATCACCTGCAAATTTATAACGCAAACATTAAAAATGGTTCCAAATACTTAGTGTCAAATATTTAAATTCTTTCCATGCACATTTACTTCTACTCAAACGTATTCCAAAATACTACAAACATACAGGGGTTGGACAAAAATATGGAAACACCTTTAAAAAAACATGTTTCTTTGCTTAATATGGTGTAGGAAACCCGTTGGCATCCAAAACAGCTTGCAGTCTTCTCGGAATGGATAAATACAGTTCCTGTATGTTTGCCAAGGGAATATTATACCATTCTTCCTGCAAAACGGTGGCAAGTTCAGATAACGATGTTGGCGGTGGATAACGAGAACACACTTTCCGTTCCAATGTAGAGCACAAAGGTTCGATAACATTCAGGTCTGGTGACTGTGGTGGCCAGGGAAGATGGGACAACTCATCCTCGTGCTCAGAAAACCAGTCCTGGACAATGTGAGCTGTGTGAACAGGGGCTTTGTCGTCTTGGAAGACACCATCGCCATCGGGGAACAAAGTTTGTACCATGGGATGAACTTGATCAGCCAAAATTTTCACATAAGTCTTGGCAGTCATGTGCCCTGACACAGTTATCATGGGGCTAGCAGAGAACCATGATATGGCTGCCCAAACCATAACAGAACTCCCGTCATGTTTCACTCTTGGCAACAAGCAGTCTGTATTATAGGCTTGAGGTGGCGTTCTCCAGATGTAAACTCGGCCAGAAGTGGGAAACAATGTGAAAGAAGACTCGTCAGACCATATTACTCGCTTCCACTGCTCTATAGTCCAGGCTTTATGACTTAAACACAACCTTTTCCTGTTACGGGCATTAGCATCACTGATGAGTGGCTTCTCAATTGCAGCACGGCCAGCAATTCCCTGTTTATGAAGCTCCCTTCTAATTGTTTTGGTACTCACAGGGTTCAGTAACACAACATTCATTTCAGCAGTAACTTTTGCAGCTGTGGTCTTTTTATTTCTCGTCACAATTGCCCTTAAT